GTTTTCCTACATTTCCCTGAGAGGGAAAAAACCAACGATTTTGGGGAGCCAACAGTAGGCATTGACTTAATAATTAGACCATACTTACATTTGTTGCATAGACACGGCCATTTGTTTAGGGAGGAACTATCGTAATTTATTAGGTCAGTATTTGTTACAAAGTCCTGTCACTGGTGTAAGAGGTTTGCAGTTTTTTCCAGGTACAATCCCATAGGCAAAATAGATGGGCTTCCCATCTAAGTGAGGGGACCAAACCATTGCTGACTGTTTAGGGTTTTTTGCAAAAATACTGATTTATCCAAGCACTGTCGAGATTTGAATTCAGCAAAATCAAACCATTTCCATCATCGCAGGTTTAGGGCCAGGCTTTTTCTTTTGGAGATGTGAAAGGCCTTGAGCCATATGCTGGGGTAGTGAGAGCCAGGATGCTCCTTAAATGCAAAAAATGACACCTCCACCCCACCTCGCTCTTGCGCAGACTTAACAACAGGAATCGCCAAGCTGAAGAGAGAGGCCAAGGGAAGCTTGTGGGAAGTTTGCTTTGCATCATCAGTGCAGTAAAACAAACAACGAGATATAAAATCCAGGTGCAAATCACATGACAGAGAACTGTATTTTTATCTTTATTTATACAGTTGTCAGTGGTGCTAGTTGGCATAGCCTGAGCAACAGAACTCCAGCCTGTTACTCGGAGGTTGGGTTTTCCCCCTCCACACCCATAAAGAGTGTATAATTTTTTAAAAAAATAAGTCTTGAGGCAATGTTGGGAACTTCTTTTCTGCTGTCAGCCTGGTAATGGGTGTTTCTCTGTCCTTGGAATCAGCACCATGGTCAGAAATTTCTCTCTTCTTTTCAGGAGACCATGATGGTGTTTTCTCATTGCGGCAGGTCTTGCGCTGATCTGAAATGACACAGCTTTTCTGTATCACTTCCAAAAGTGTAGAACATCTCTTTTCTTGCAATTTTTTAGGGAAAGAAGTGGGCTTATCAATATACACATTTGGAGACAAAAAAAAGTCTCCAGGCTGACAACTGCAGCAGTGAGCTTTGACCTTCTGCAGCTTCAAACGGCTGATTTAATCCCTTGACTAAGGCTTGGTGTGGAAAGGCTGACAGGGCCTTAATTACTGGGTCACGATTATCAATAGTAAAGTGAAATAAACTCCGCTCATCCAGCTCCAAGCACTTAATAACCACTGGAAATCTTTCACAAATCATTTTGCTTTTGCCTGTAATGGTAGCAAAATAGAGAAAGACAGGACTTTCTGCTTCAGTTTAGATGGTGCAATCATGATAAATGGGTTTCCTCCAGAAACACAGCATCGCAATTCTCTTCCTTAAGCATCCTCTGGAAACCTCCTTTTAACTTGGTAGCTCCATCTGTTCAGCTTCTTACACTCTGATATGTTTTCATCCATAAAAAAGTCCAAATATTGTGAGAAACCAGTCAGGAGAGGAAACAGCCATCTGAATCCCAAGCAACAACGTGTTTTGGTTTGATACCAAAGACAGAAATCGAAGCAAGGTTTTGGTTTCCAAGCCACAGATGATCACTGGGTACCAGGTGTTTTCATACACAGACTGCTCTGAGCCTGGCAGGGGAGCATTTTTTTGTACTCCGTGAGATCTTTTTTCTTGTCAAGTGTTATTGGTTGGAGTTAAAGCTCAGCGACTGAGCCCTGCAAGGGTGCTGCAGATGTGTTCTTCCTGCAGGCTGCTTTCCATCATGTGTAGCACACTTGACTTCTACATTCCAAAAAAACAGCCAAAGAAAAAAAGTTTCACCAGGTGAAAGAGGAAGATAAATACCTTAAACTCTTTTAGTATTTCAGTGAGCCCTTTTCTCTTTTTAAGACCACTTTTTAAATAAGCCTTTGGTAGGTCACTTACAGCCAAAGCATGGGGCGTAAGCATTCATTTAGCTTTCGGCACCTTTTGGAGCCACACAGCACTCCAGGGAACGTGTGTCCGTGCTCCAAGGAAGCCTCCAGTCATACACCATTGGCTGAACCAGCTGGGGCACAAGGCTCCCAGCCAAGAAAAAAGGCGACCCATCGCGATTGCATATGGTCATGGTAGATGGGTGCGGGGCTTTTTCCTTTGGTGAGGTAGGTCTGAGCAAGTCGATCTTTTCAAATGTGGGAGAAAAAGCAGTTTTACTTGGCCTCTTGCTTACAGCATGTTTTTTTCCTTCCCTCCCCTTCCCTTCTAAAGCTGGCATAGTATATGCACATGTTAATGTTTGTATCAAGCTGAATAGTTAATGTGCCTGCCCTGGGAAGACAAGGAGGAATCTATATGCTGAAAATGGAAATTTTACTTTTGCTTTTTGCACAGTGCCTTGTCTGGATGCTTTCGTTGATTTTTTGATTATTGCTTGTGGTTTAATGAAAAGAAGTGAAAGAATCCTGTGTGAGTCCCTCTTAATAGTTCCAGATTTGAGAAATACTCTGAACTCAGTAAGCTTGATCGTAATCTTCCAAAGAATTTCAAGCTCTTGTCCTGCTCTCCAGGGAGCCAACAGCTCATATTCTGTTCCCTCTGTGCCTTTCTTTCCAAGTTTACTGGTTTCGGTATGTAAAAATGTTAGAAGGAAAAGAGAGTGCCATCTTAAGCCTCTCCAACTTTTAATATTTTGTCCTTAATAGCATTAGATTGCTGTTCAGCAGTATATAGTATTAGTCAAGCTTCTGACTGTGAAATGCAGATAATTAATTGAAGCTTTAATCTCTGAGTTATTAGTGAAAAGATCCACACTAACTAGAAGTTTTACAATCATATCTGTATTTTCTTCTCCAGAAATTTGACCCCTTTTTTAAAAAAAAAACCCCTCTTCGTCTTTGAAGGCTTTCAAATGAAATCTTCAGGATGGTTTAAATAAATGGTGTGTTTTACCCACAGTTAGAGGCATACACACTTGGAAGTGGCTCAAAACATTTGAAAAAATGTAACATTAACTCAGCTGTTCTGCCTCTGTTAAAGATCAGGGAACGCTGTAGAAATGCTGTATTGTCAGCCTTTAGGCTATCACATCATTTGCTGCCAGTTCTTTTTTGCCAGTTTTAGCTTGGCTGATCTATCAAAAGTACAAAAACGTATCTAGCAGGTATCTGTTAAGAGCTTTAGCCAGTGTATGTCCTTACCACCTTGTCTCCTCAAAGCAAGTCTGTGTATTGAGCGGTAGAAATGTTGGCAATGACTTGATTGTGCTGTTAGTTATCTTCATGGAAAGAAAATATGGGGTAGTAAAGGGCCCTAGCAAAGGGCCTCTTAATCTTGCAAGGAGCAGCAATTACTGGCTGGAAAGAAAAGCCACACTTCACAATAGAACAAAGAGATTAAATTCTAGTACATGGACTAATAAATTGTTGCAACAGTCAGACCAGGGAAGTAGATCTTCCACCTCTTGGACATTTCAGATGAAGGCAGGTATCTTCCCCTAGAAGATATTCAATAGTTGGTCACAATCTGGGGAAAAATGAAGAGGAGATTGTCTGTATAAGACATTAGAATAGACATTCTAATAGTACCTTTTTAACTTGTAAAACGTAGGGATGAGTAATCTGTCTGCACAAACATTTCCAGTTCTACTCCTGCCAGGGAAGTTCCTTTGCCATTAGGATATGTCTCCATCATAAAAGACTACAGTAGATAAGAACCAGATGCTGCCTGTCTTCCCAGATTCCTACTTCTACCACCATGGTAGAAACGACCCTTCCACTCAGGAGTAGATTTACTGAGGATGAAGATGGGGATGGGTTCCCTTCCTCTCCCCACTACATTGGCTTAAGCTAAGAGCAGCGTTTTCACTTTGCCTTGTCATGTGGTCATGTTTTTAGAGACATGTAGCACTCTAGTTTGCAACTGTATTTTTTCTGGTTTCTTGTTGTTCTGAATCACACTTAAAAAGGCCTTTCTTGAAAAGTATTTTCTTTGGCTTCAGCTCTTGGGGGTCTTGCTAGAATCACGTGTATCCTGTCAAAAGAAGGGAGTTAACGTACCAGCTGGCCTTTGTCTTTCTTCACCAAACTAGATTTGGCATTTGCTAAAAGTTTTTGTGTCCTTGGAGGATGCACAAGAGGGAGATCATCTAGAGAAATTCTGAAAAAAAAAAAAAAAAAAAGAGTTCTGCATTGTCTGTTGCTCAGCATTGCCAAGAGAGACAAATAACAGCGGAAAACCCTCACATTCAGGCTCTTCAATTAGCATGCTGATCCAGCAGAACTGTTTTGTTGTGCTTCATCAATATGCTGCTCGCATCCTACCTTCCCCTAAAGCATCAGTGGAGCTCAAAGAAAATTATTAAAAACACCTTGTATGAGATGAAAGTTCTGATTAGGTTTTGTTTCAGGTGCGAAACCTGCTCCTGGGATCTGCTTTGAGAGAGTCAATTCTGCAGGTGATCCTTACGGCAACTGTGGCAAAGACTCCAAGAGCTCCTTTGCTAAATGTGAACCCAGGTAGGGTCTCTCCCTACAAACACAGAGGCAGATGCAAGGGTGGTGGGAGAGGGCTTATGACGTTTAAAATTGTTTAACTAAGCTTTGGGTGTGTTTATTTCCTTCAGAGATGCTAAATGTGGAAAAATCCAGTGTCAAGGAGGAGCAAATCGACCTGTAATTGGTACCAACGCTGTTTCCATAGAAACTAATATCCCACTTCAGGAAGGTGGCAGGATTCTGTGTCGTGGTACCCACGTGTATTTGGGTGATGATATGCCCGATCCCGGTCTTGTGCTGTCAGGAACCAAGTGTGAAGATGGAAAAGTAAGGTTCTGAAATACTCCCAAACAGGGAGAACATCACTACCCTCGCGCTGCCAAGTATTTTGTGCTAAACTGACTGGGTTTTGCTTTGGGATTTTTTTTTTTTTTCCACAAAAGAATTGTTTCTCATGCTCACACTGGGTCAGACTTTCACTCCCTTCTTCTTTTGGCCACTGCTCTGGATTACAGACTTGCAGATGCAATGCAAGTTGCTTGAGTTTATTACTGATTTCTTGAGGTCAGTCCCAGTTCTCTGTCCATATAGGCTAGAGGTTTTCTGCAAAGTACAGCAAAACACACTACAGGCTTGTTAATGAGTTTCTGAGGAGTTCAATGTATTTGCGCTCCCAGTGTCTATGTCATTGCAAAATTGTCATTAACTTCACTTTAGGTTTCAAAATGTATTTTATCTGCTGATTCCCTCCCGCCCCTTTTTCTTTCCTTGCAGGAAGAGCTGTCTCTCTATGCACCACTAGAAAAAGACAAACCCGTTGATGTTCAGGCACCAAAACTGATTTTTGCAATCGTATTTCGCAAACTTTGCGAATTATCCAGTGTGAATGTGGTCCAAATTTCATATGGCCGCCTCATTCTTAGTTTTTCTTTTGTGAGGAAAGGAACAGAGAAAGATGGGAGACAGCCATGAGTTTCCGGGGTGGGGGAGGAATGGAAAGGGGTCCTAGAAGCGTTGAAATGAAGGTTTCCGTACCCTCAGTGGATTACTCGCAAAAAGAAAAAAAAAAAAAAGAGCTTTGATAATTTGTGGTAAAGTAAGCCTCTGAATTTCTGAATGCTTTTGAATTATGTTGGATTATCACACTGCATTGGGAAGAGGTTTAAAATACATCCCTAGTGAAGCTACAGTTCTGTTACAGGAAAACAACCCTTACAACATTTCTAAGTCAATCTGTTATAAAACGTCTTTTCAAAGAAAATTCAACACTGGAAAGCACCCTGTTATGTTTTACTAATGAGTATTTAATCTTTCTAATCTATCTAATCATACACATACACACTATAGAATACACAGGCTAATACTTATGAAATTGTATGTTTTACTTTGAGGACATTAGTGCGTTTGTATTATGGATTAAGAATATGAATTTAAATATTCTTGAGTTTTCTAAGCTGAAGATACACAATTTGAAATGCAGCCATTTTAATGTGATCAAAATTCTGTGTGCTACTGCACTATGAATATTTGAATTGTGAATACTGCTGTAATCAGACCATATTCTCTACATGCATGCATGTTGATGCCAATTCACTCTAATTTCCTTTCCATTTTTCCTTCTCCCTAGGGCATAAGTGCCCTGATTAAGCATCCCTGTCGTCTCCTTCAACATTATTCCCTGCTTAATGCTAATTATTGTGACTGACTTTTAGTACTACTGAATCGAACTGCACTTAAACATGAGCAAAATTGTGCAGTGATTTTTTTTTTCTTTTTTTTTTTTTTTGGTCAACATAGCATAGCAACAGTTATTCCAGTCCTAATTTCTTTTTTTTTTTTCGGAGTTGGATAGCTTCTCATGTGTGACATCTTCATCAGTCATTTGACTGTTTGTTGGTATTAGATGGTACTAATCTCACTTTACCTCCATTTTCAGCTACGTTGGCAGAATAAAGTTTGCCCGTAATAACTGGAAAACAAAAAATTTGGATTTTAGTACTTTGCATATTCTATTTGTCTACTTCCATTTCCTATAAGATCATTATTACACTCTAAATATGGTTGGTTTATATTTGACACCAAAGAAATTGTTTGGCTTGGGAAAACTCTTAGAAAGGTCTCTGTTTTGCTGATGGACAATGTTGAGCCCATATGTATTAGTGACCTCAGTTAAATATTCAGGCTGTCCTGGGTCTAAATTCTCTACTAGCATGAAAAAGTATTGCACTATTAATATAAACAGAACTATGGTAATTTACACCACGAGGGGATCTGAACCTTTCCTTGAGGAATCATCTGCTGCTGTGAAGGCATGAACGCGGCCAGATCAAGTACGTGGAAGAATCCTGCTCAGTGCATTCCTAGTCCTGAAAGAATGCAAATTACTGGCTTTTAAATTAGCTTAAAAAAACCCCAAACCCCAGCGGCTCACCACTATTTCCACTTCAGTGAAACTGAGAGTGTTTATTTACACGAGCTCAGCATATCAACCAAATACAAACTATGTCTGAAATTCAGTGTTGGCCAGGATGCCGATCGAGAGTGGAATTCAACTTCCACAGATTTGGACCTGAAAGACTTACAAAGGCATGATAATAAGAAGAAGACACCTAATTCTGGTGTCCTTATGGTTTTGTCGATGTAACATTGTCAATCCAGAGGGTATATTGGGAAATCTTTAATGGCTAAAAGAGCCATTGATGGATGAGCAGACATACAGAGGGACACGACGCCTTGCGAGCACCAGCACTTCTGTCCTTGTTGAAACTCCTTTTCTCTTGTTTTGCAGATTTGCCTTAATCGCCGGTGCCAGAATACAAGTGTTTTTGGTGTACATAAGTGTGCAACAAAGTGCCATGGACGTGGAGTAAGCATTATAGGAACACTTTTTTTACAATCAGTCAATAAACACTGGGCGAGAAATCATTTTACGTAGTAGCTTTGGGATCTATGATTGTTTGTAATGTATCAGTCAAAGCCACTGCAATATTTTTTTATTATCTGTTTCCATTTTCAGTGTCCCTTCTATGAACTGCAAGAAATTAAATTATTTTTAACAAAGAAATATTTATCAAGTAGTAGTTATCTTGTTCTTAATTAACAGTCTGCGATAAAAAGGAATTTTGTCCTCTTCAAAGCAATTTTGAGTCTAACCATCCTTCACGAAGAATTCCCATTAACATTTCAAAAACTAGTTTCTATGTGGATACGGAAAAGTTAAAATATGCATTTGAATTGGGAGTCAAATGAAAAAGCATTTCCAAAAGTATTAAAATAAAGTAAAACCATAGTGATGAGTTTTATGGTGTGAAAGTGGTGTAGGACGAAAAATCTGCTGATATCAGTTAATAACATCGAAATGTTTTGAAACCTAGTTTATGTTATGAAAATGTTAATTATGTCAAGCTATGCCTTGTTAACCTTGATTTGCTGATGATCTCTTTGTTTCTGTGAAAAGCTGTGGCAACCACACTGGAAGAACTGTAGGAAATCCTCTGGCCTCTCCTGAGACGGGATTTTAATATGCTTTAACTTACTTCATCATCCCACGTTTGAAAAGCTGGGCAGTGTTGATGGTGCTGCGTGTGACCATTGTGCTGGAATGAGCGTCGGCTTAGGCTGGCATCTTTATGGCTGTACGATGGAGAACCTCTGGTGACTCCTGAGCAGCATAAAATGACCTCGTGGAATTGTAGATGGGAACTCCTGTAGCGCTTTCATTTAAACAATAATGCCTAATGAAGGATATTTTTAATTAATCTTGCTATCTTTGAAAAGTAATTTATTTACTTATTTATTTGTGTTTTACATGACCATAGCCGGTCTAAGCTATGTGAATGATATTTTAGTACTCTGCAGACACAGGCAGTGTAGTCCTTCTGAAAGCCTGCCAGCTGACCTTGCCAGAAAAATGCATATTTCCAAACTCTTGTGAACTAGTGTCTTACCGAGAAACCCCTTCATTAATCGGTCGTGTGGTGTCTCCATGGCAGTGGTAGATGGGTGACAATCGGTGTTAGCACAGAATTTAGGACCGTGTTGACAACTAGGCCTAAGCCCAAAAGCTTTCTTTAAAAATCAGCTTGAACAGCTGCATGTGACTGTGCCACCTCTGTCCTGGGCAATGAAATTTTTGTCCTGTTCATGTATTCTGTCGACACAGCGCGGAGCTTTAGCCTCTGGATTAGTCACATAGCCACTGCTTGGGTGGGAGCAAAGGGAGATAAAAGGCAGCCCTTCATCTGATGGGTGTTTGGGACTGCGGATGTCCTGAGGGAAAAGCCAGGAGTCTACCAGCTCCTTCTGCTCCGTGCAGCGGGAACAGGCTGATGGTGACGATGGGCTCCAGTCCCTTGGAGCTCTCTTATTCTGCAGGGAGCATTTGGTAAATCAGGTCTTGCTAGTTGTTCCTTAACTCAGATCAAAACCACCAGAACACTGAGGACTGTGACCTTATAGACAGTTCAGGTGTGATACCAAAGGGAGGGTTTCCTCAGCCCTGATTCCAGTTTCCCATGTTCTTCCAGCAACTGGTTCATCTTAGAGCTGCAGGATCTGAGCAGTGGAAAAATCAGTATGCAGCCTAGTGCGAGCCCTTGATGAATGCGAGTGCTCAAGTGGGCTGACAAAGCTTTACAGCCTTACCAGCGTAGAGAGCCTCTCATTCCTACGAAGGCAGAAGGAACAGAAGTTAGAAAGCAGATATTGTTGCTGCTGGAGGCAAGGAGAGAATAAGACTTGAGGGTTGTGTGATTATCCTTATATTATTGAAGTTGTCAGCTGGTGCAACTGGTGCAACTCAAACCATTACCTGCCAAATAAATAATGCTTTTTTAGGATCCCTCTTGCTCCATGGTGTCTTGCAGTCAGAGTTGCTCTGTGCCATCGCAGTTGTGCCAATAGGCAGATCCCAGTACATCTCTCTTCTTCCGTAGGCTTTCTTTCTTTGAGAAGTGTCACTATGATGAGACGGCCTTATCAGCCAGTGTATAGGGTAATCCTTCTCATGTTAAGCCATTTGTCTTGTTTTGCAGGTCTGCAACAATAAAAAGAACTGTCACTGCGAGGCTGACTGGGCCCCCCCCTACTGCGACAAGCCCGGGTTTGGTGGCAGCATGGACAGCGGACCGATTAGACAAGCAGGTCAGTAGAAATTCATGCTTTACCTGTGGTTGTCGTGATAAAGAGTGGAAATACAAAGTGTAGCCTTGTAAGCAATGAGTTTGGGGAAATAAGTCAGTAAATCAAATGGCTTCATCTGAATGCATTGGCACCAACTTGAAAAGTTAGGGAAGCAAAAGCAAGGATGCTGAGTGCATCAGGGTTTTTGCCTAACTAAAGGCACAGTGGTCCTGGCCAGTTCTGTTCTTTGCCTTTCTTTGCCTTTTCCTTTCTGCTGGTTTGTTTTTTTTTTTTTTTTCAAGATACATGGTCAAGTTTAGTAGCTCACCGCAGTAAGTAGGAAATGGTATTGATTTAAGCCGAGGATGAGGAGCTGACTCCCACACTTGAGCTAATCCTGTTGCCATGGTAGATGAACGTTGTAGTACTCTTGGATTCACCTTGAGATATGCCAAGCTCCAGTGTTGTCCACTGAATGCATTGAGCTAGAAATGCCTTATCATACACACACCCTGCTCCTTATAGTTCTGTTCCTAATGAAGAGTGGATATTGCAATGATTTTAAATGCAAAAATATAGCATAATCAAAAATCAGAAATATATTTGACATTGTTCTTCTAAGGAGGATCTTTTGTGTCGTGGAAAAGAGCAGATTTCTGACCATATAAGATTGAAACTACGTTTTATAGATAGCTTCCACATATTTACCAGAAGTTGCCCTCACACATGATAGTAGTAGGAGACGTGACTTTTCTATAATTTCTATTTCAATTTCCCCTTGTTCAGCCTGCAGAACATTGGCTATAGTACCTTATTTCACCTTTGGCCAACCTCAGAAAGAATTATTTCCACACATTGTAAATTTTATAGGATTTGATAATCATCACATGCAAATTTTTCTCCAGAGTAATCTAACTTTAGTGAGTTCCACAGAGATGTTTCTGATTTATCTCTGAGTACGTGACAGGACAAGCAGTCTACTCATATATGTGTGTATATATATATAGATAGATACATATAAACCCCTAAAACTTGCTGGAAAATTATATACATGAGTGATACTCTTCAAAACCAAAGTGGATTGTATTCTCTACAGTGAATATTGAACTGAAATACTGGATTTATGACATTATGGGCATTTCCATGACAAAGCTTCACGTTATGATTTCACTGTTGAAAGATCTTTTTTTTTAAGTATCTCCCAGTCAGTAAGATAGCAAAGAAACAGTGCTCAGTCACTGAACAAGTGTGATTATTTGTGTGTTAAATGTTTTCTTTTAAGATTTGCTCTAAAGCATTATAGTCTTTTTTCAGCTTACCTGAAAGCTAAGTAGCTAGGGAGCTACAAAATATATTATAAAAACGTGCGGCATAGTCAACAGTAACTGGAGAAGACAAATACAGGACATCCTTGATAATTCTTGCAGTTTGTGTCTTGGAACAATTTAACAGAAAATTGTTTTAACAATAGTTTAATATAGTGTGGTAGTGTGTTTTCTCCAAACACAGTGCTGCATTCAATCATACTGGAAATAAACAAATATGGAAATTGCCAAAGGACCTAATTTTCTATCGCTGACACTTGGATTTAAATATGAACACTTGATGGAGGGGTTTGGGTTGTGATCTGAGTAGTTTGCACATCTCAATCAAATTACAGAAGGATTAGCTCAATGAAATACTTTCATCTTAGTCAAACAAGGCACATGGTCTCATTAGTATTTAGTAACTGATTTTACCCAGCTGACTCAGAATAAACCTGTGTGTTTGACACTCTGTATTTTTCTTACAAAGAAGCCTTAAATATGTAATTGTTAGGTAGAGAAGTTAATTAATTTAAATTGCTTCATCTTAGCTTATTAATTTTATTAATCTTTTAGAGATGGTGAGGGACATATTACTCTGCAGCGCTGTAAGCGAACAGGCGCAGCGCTTCACGCCCCATCAAGCCCCACGTGCGGCTTGTTCCGTCGGTGTTGTGTTCACCAGCACCCGAGTGAGCTTAGGCCAGGAGAAGGGAGCCAGCTGGCTGAGAATCCATCAGCAGAAGACTGAGACAGTGATGATAGGTTGCCAGAGCAAAGATTAAAGACGTCTCTCCTACTGTGGGATGTGCATTTTTTAGGTCAGCGGTCCTGAAGAATCACATCCTCTCCTCCAGGCAATGATCGTATCGCATACCCGTAACGATCCAAGCTGCCTCTTACCTCTTCCTAAAAATAAGGCTTCCTTTCAGCTGCAAGTCATCTAGTCAGGGTTCACCTCACCGTTGTGCCTCACTTGGGTCCCAGCAAGGTACTTAAAGCAGCTTAAAGCACTCTGAAAACTGGAACGAGTACAGAAGGCTGCAGCCCCTCGCTAAGCAGAGCATCCCTCTGAGAGCGCACAACACCGTTGCTGAAGGCTTTCCGTCGGCTCCTTGCTTGCCTCCAGATTCGATTTGACAGCCATCTGGGCTGGGTCACAGCAGCCCAGATTTCAGACTGTTTGCCCAGTGTTAAAGCGCAATGAAACCCCCCAAATGTGGTTTTAAAGGAGCTAGGGTTGCTGCTTGTGTTTGAGAGACGGAATATTTCAAAGTTTGCACTTTACCAACCCATGATCTAGGCATTTCTGTCCCTTTTCTCTCCCACCCAGCCTGGCAGCAGGCAGCCTGTGAAGAAGGTGCCAGTCAGCGTTGCCACAGCCATCACCCTGTTGGGTGTCTGGATGAGGCCGACAGCCCAAGCGCCTGATGGCCCCATTTGCAGGTGACAACCTAAGCAGGACCTGAGCATAGGTGCAGAGGGAGTACGGCATGTTCACAACTGGACCCAGATACCTGACTGGAATAGAACAGTGCAGTTGGAAAGGACCTCTAGTATTTTAACCAATTTTTCCCCAATGTTAAAGAAACAACTTTAAGAGGCCAAAATTCAAGCATCAGGCTAGAAGAAATAGGAGTTTATTAGTCATTCATTCATAGTTTATTCACTTCACCTGCACTGCAGTTAGAACCTGGGCCAGGCAGCAATGTCCTGCTCCATATACACCACACATTTCATAAAGATGGCTCTCGACAGAACGTAACTCAGTGTGTTTTGTTGCAGATAATAAGAGTTTAACCATAGGAGTGTTGATAACCATTCTGTGCCTCGTCTTTGCTGGATCAATCATGTATCTGAAAAGGAAGACGTTCATGAGATGGTTGTTTACAAGTAAAAAGACAACAATAGAGAAACTAAGGTACGGTAATTTTCCCTAATTAATAGAAATTAGTAGGAAGCACCTGTAAACATGGCAGCTGTCATCTTGACATTCCCCACAGAACAGTGGGAATATGTCAGAAAGAGCCAACGTTAACAAAAATATCCACCAAGTATTAACAGCAGCGTTTTCCCTGGTTTAGTTTAACTTTATTGATTGTCAGTAAATAATGCGGGTTTTCATTTTACCATATATCTCTTTTCTTTTGTGATAAAAAAATAAGAACTGAAGGAAGTATTGCCTTTATTTTCATTTCCTTGCAGTGGTTTCATTACATTGCATGGCCTTTTATCTAAACTCAGTCGAGTGAGCTGAAACTTTCATATTCGAGGTCATTACTGTTTAAATGCTAGATTCATTAGAATAGTCTCTTGGGTGTTACAAAGCTGCGTTTCCACAGATTGCAGAAGCTAATTTAACAGACTACTGGTTTCCAAAAAAATCAATATTTATTTTTATTCTTGCATGAGCGCTAGACAATTTTTACTCTCCTTGTTTACTACAGAAAGTCAGAAAGTCCTTGCAAAATCTCATTCTGGGAAGAGGCCACCGTTTAAAAAAATGTTCTAAAGCAGAACGTTGTGTTCAATAAATATATATTTGTATTGCAGGTCTGTGAGTCCAGCAAGACCTTCCAGTTCATCTGAACCTAATCATGTTCATACCGCGTCTCTCAGTAAAAATCTCATCACGAAGCCACAAAACACAAACATACAAAAAGTGAGTCCCTAAACAGTTAAAAAAAAAAGAAAGGAAAAAAACCCCATATTATATATTTCGGATCTCACTTAAGTAATTTATTAAAACACAATTATTACATCATCTTAATATCATGTAGAGCTAACAATTTGTAACATGAGAGAAGATGTAGGCAGCAAAATACATTTATGGCTTCCAAGTTTTAGACAGATGGAGGTATGAAGTGCAGAGAAGAAATAGTTTAGTCTCCAGGACAGAGCCAGCCGCCTGCCTTACACCAGAGCACTACGCCTGAACGGTGAAGGACTAGCGCTGGAGTAGAACTCTGGGAGCTGTTAGCTGCTTCTCTGCTTGCAGAGGTGTGGAAGGTAGAGGAGGGCAGAGTAGAAGAGAAAAGCGAGTGAATAACGTAGATTTTTAAAGCAGCAAGGCTTCTGCCAGCTCTCGAAGTTTATAACTTCTGGTTGGGGTTGTTTTTGTAGAGAGAGGGTTCAAGAAGACCGCTGCCCTATCAGATCATTGACATTAGTGACCCCGTGAAGACGCACGATTTGCCACAGTTAAGAACGCCGCAGCGAGTCCTGCCACCCCTTCCCCAGCTGCCATGTCACCAAGCTGTGCCTGAAAGACCCTTGCCAGCCACCCCTTCGCTGCGGTTCACCCAGGTAACCATTGCTTTTCTTTAAGCTTCTCTTCTGTTTCGCATTTAGTGCGTGAGCATCTGCATGTGGTGAAGAGGAATGAAGTGTTGTCTCATCCCTCCTATTGGCCTTTTTTCCACAGCATTTGCTTTACACTTTGTACAAGTTTAGAAATGCAGCGTGGAGATATCGGTTTATGCCAGCTGAGGCTGGGATCCTAAAATTTAAGATCCTGAACTCTCTCTCTTCACCACTCAAAAGACACAACAGTATAAACAAGCTCCATGTTACAGGCAAACACGGGCTCGTCTTGTCAGCTGCCGCACCGGAGGGGAGATGGTACGGTTTGTTAGCAAGGTGCCAAACATAATGATACATTTTAGGAAGTCAAGCTGCAGATGTCTTGTGCAAGAGCGAAAGGTATATTAGCCTGATGTGCTTCTGTTCTGCCAGGAGATGTATGAACTGTATTGTTTTTTTCCCAGAGCACAGATCTGAAGAGCAGACTTGTAATTACGCACGCTGTTTCACGTAGATGTACCTTTCAGTGCCATGTTTAAATAGAGCTGGTAGCCCTTTTTGTTTGGTAATAAGATGCATCTCAAGGCAATAGTCACGGTAGATGAAGTTGTCTGCAGTTGTCCATATTAAATTGCCCCTTTTCTTGTACCCGGCTTCTGTTTTTCGGTTGCATGTGTAGCGTGTCTGTGTCTAAGCAAAGCAATCAGGCACCCAGCTCTTTCCGTTTTGTAGACATTGTGCTATCCTGGATATAGTACAGGATTAAAATGAAGTGAATGTTGTTGTCACCAAGCTATCTTAAATGAGTGTCATCGCCTTGATTTGGATGCAAATCTCTACTCAAACAGCTGTCTTGAGTGACTGCGGCTGTCTGAATCCAGCTGGGATGTCCGAGGACAGAGCACCTTCCTCCCGCAGCAACCCTGTGAGCTGCTCCGAGACACTTTCCCAACGATTCACAGGAGGATACAGCTATGAAAAAGGGTTGCTGAAGGGCCGTGCTTTGAAAAGTGCTTGTAAAAATAACACAGGAACAAAAAGGGGTGAGACGGTGCTGAGCTGCCACAGCAGTGTGCTTACCGACTGTGACAGCAGAAAAGGTGTATCTAGTTTTCATTTTGTCTACGTCTGAACATGGAATGACTCAGGTTAGACCCACTTTTATAAGCATGGCCACTTTATTAGTTGCTTTCACAGTACTTAAGCTTTTTCTTCTCCCCTTTTCCATCTTGCTAGTCACTTGTTTTCCTTTTCAGAGGAATGGGAAATACTGATTCTTTCTAAAATCAGTTTTCTAGGATATCTGAAGTAGTGTTGCTTTGTGTTGCTTTTGTCTTTAGCTCCAGTGGTTTCATTGTTTATTTTCTTGCATTCCTTAAAACATTCTGCACATTTCACAGTGGTCAAAGTTAAGATTTTAAGTGCAAGTGCTTTTCTGTTTCTTAATGAAATGGGAACTATTAAAAAAAAAAAAAAAGACATTTCTTCTCTTTCTTCTTATCTAGCACCTTATAAGCTCACACTCTCTCCCACTACCTGAGGGCAGATGGAGAAAAAGTAACTATTTCTCATTCTGGTGGTGCATCTGTGTCTGCCCCAGCCTGCCATTGCACATCGAATGCACCACTCCAGTTCATGTTCCAGAGCACCCTCCCCTCCAAATCCCGTGTGAAGGCAAGATAGAATACCAGATCTCTAGTACTATCATTACCAAAGACTGGCAGATCTGAAATTAAAAGCTTTTCATTTTGGTGGCCCAAATGAATTGTGACGGTTACTCCATCAAGCAAAACGTCGCTGTTTTCAATTTTTCACTTGCTGCGTGAAACAGAAGTAGGACAAAGAGGCGATCAACTCAAGGCAACCTAGTGAACAAGCAAGAGTGGCTTCTTTCAAAATTATCTCCATAACCACAACCCAAGGTTGTCAGAAACTGCTACTTTTTATACCGTAGGGACACAGAAAAAATGCTGTATGGGAAGGAAATCTTTTCTTCTGAAGTTAACGATTTTACTCCCCCAAAGCTCAGAAGAAGTAAGTTAACTTGAGAATAGTTTCAGTCTAATTTATATAAATACTACTTAATGTCTCACTTCAGCACTCTCTTGGTACTGCATCTATCAGGTCACCGGGAGGAAGCACTTTAAAAATCATTGCTACATTCATAATATCATCCAGATGCTCAGTGCTGCAGTATCGTGCTGAAGAAGAGTATCTGAAACCATTCACTGTTTCTATGGCTTCACAGCTGCCTCCTCCTGCTTCTCCCTTCTGAGAGGTGGATTTAAGCACGAGCTACTTTCCTGCTGCCTCTGGGCTCCAAGCAGTGGATAGCTAAGGTACAACACACTAAGTAGACTTTGAGACAACTCTTTTCCCCTCTAGTGGCTGTTGAGATAGCAATGAATGAGTTATTATTTTGCTATAAAATTTCCTTTCAGATTTAGATAAAACAGTAAAAAAAAAAAAAACAACAAAGGAAACCCCAAAAAATCCCAACCACAAGCAAACAAAAAAACACTTAGCAAATGAACTGTTGTCAAGTTTTATATTTAACAATCTTTTGACTGATAAACAGCTTCTCCTTCTTTCAGGTGCTCTCACAAGGCAAACCTACTTTATTTACGGGCCGGATTCACAGCCAATACGAATCAGCACAGCACAGTGCAGGTTTATACTAACCGTGGGTTCAGTCCGTGCATCCTGATCTGATCTCTTCCCACTTGGTTTTGTTGCTGTTAGCATTCAGTTGCTGTCTCTGATACTGTCATCATCTCATTACCAAACTATATCTCATGTTTTACAGGTCATCCTTATCGCAGGAAATACAGCTTGGTATTTTTACTTTTCCCCTAGTAAAGCTGAGCTGGGCTCACCTCCTGCTCCCTCTGCCACAGTTCTTGCTGTGAATACCTCTCCTGTGACACTTCAGATGGCTCTAGACACAGAGAGCTAACAGAGTTTAAGTTTCCATCTAAATAGGTGGAGGAAAATACCCCTTCTCACCCAGTGCATTTCAGGCAAGAGCCTTCTTCCAGTCGCTTATTTAAAAATCAGTGGAAAAAAAATGTCAGTGAAACAAATTAAAGGTTCATGCATCTGATGTCTTTGTAGCTGCTCAATATGAGAATTACTTTTTTCTTCCTAGCAGAGCTGTAAAAAGAGATGGTGACGGTATTTAAAATAATACTTCCCCAAATACAGACAGCGACTGAAGGCATTAAGTGCTAACTTATTGATAGACAGCTGGAAATCCATCCATTAAGTCTTTGCATTGAAGAGCTGAAGCTCTGTAGGGGGAAAACATGGGCTGGGAGAAAGGAGAGTGAGCTGAAGCAGGGAAGCACAGCCATGGTGGTACTTGCCAGGACACCAAAGGCTGGAGCAAGTTTCCACGGATGTTAATATACAAAGCTGTATCAATTTGGACTCTCCTGTGGCACATAAAGAATATAAAAGACCATCCTGTAATCAGTTTGAGAGAGGGGATTTATTTCTTCAGGTATTTTCTCCTCTGCCTCTAAGAATGTATGTTTTCCTGGTGGCATTTTCCAGTGCCGGTGTCTCCTTTCTATGAAGTGCTCCTCCATTTTGCTTCATCTCAGCCATTACACATTCTCCATCTCCATTTTTATCTGAATTCTCTCATTTTTTCTTTTTTTTTTTGCCCTTTCTTTCTTTTACTCTTTCTTACCAGCTTGCCAGATTAGACTTTCTGTGAAGCCACTTTGCTGCTTCCTTCTTAAGGAAAGGAAGCCCAGGGCAGTGGTGGAGTCACCATCCCTGAGGTGTTAAAAAAAGGTGCACATGTGGCACTTCGGGACACAGTTTAGGGACCATGGTGGTGTGGGGCTGACGGCTGGAATTGACGATCTTAAAGGACCTTTCTAACCTTAATGATTCTATGATATTAACTCAAGGATGACGTTTTTACAAGCTCTGGGGAAAAAAAAAATAAAAAAAAATCAGGTGTTGGACTTGTGTACCCATCAATCAGAGTTATATTTTTAGTATGGGTGCTGTTTCAGCATACTTCCTCATGTGGATGTTTCTTCTGGAATAAGAGGGTCTAAAGAATTAGTTTGGCTTAGGCATCAAAGATAAATGCTCAGCCGTGAGAAGATGCTTACTCCACAGCTGAAGAACATATGGGTTAGCCACTTCAGCCAGCTTCCCCTGCAAAAAGAGGGGCAAAAAAAGCAACTGATAGGGTCCCATCAGTACTTCGCTGCTCTGAGCTTCTCAGCAAGTCAACCTTTCCCTACTAGCGGGTGTTGTAGGTGGTGGTTAGACACAGGACACCGCTAATAAACACAGACAAGGACAGTTCTCCTCACTTTTTGTTCATTCATCCTTACCAGACATTAAGCTCTTGAGACCTTTGTTTCTCTAGACTGCTGAGCCTGGATCGGTTCCTCTTCCCAAGTGTGGTACCAAGCACCCTGCCAACTGAAGAGTAAATACAAATCATGCAGTAACAATTAGGGACTGATCAAGCAAACAGCTGGATACTCCTGTGGTCAGACTAATTCATGGGATTAATCATGTAAAAGCACTTGAGGGAAAAGGCCACTTCTGCGAAGGCCGTCAAGGGAGTAAAGGCTTTATGGTGTTCCAAGATGTGTTCGTTGTTTGCTGCCGTTATAGCGCTGATGGGTTTGCATTTGTTACAACTTTTTTTTTTATAAAAAAAGGTGATGTTGCATGTACTTTCCCTGGTAATAAACATTATGACTTTTAACAAAGTTATTACAGAAGCAACATGAATTTATATGTTACTGTAGAGATAATTCAATTCTTTTAAAAAAATCCGTTTCCACTGTGACCTAACTTGTTCCAAACTGGTGTATTTCACCTCAAAACACACGCATTAAGATTTCATTGTGTAAGAAATTTAGTGCACAAAGTAAACTTGGGTTCAGAAATCCTGGTGGTAAGATTCCTTCTCTTAGTAGTTTTAAGGTTCTAGTTCTGTACCACGGGAAATGACCATGTTTTGAAGAACTTCCTTTGCTAGTGTTTAATTAAACTCTGGGTCTTTCGACAGGACAGCCCTATGAGATAAAGCTACATAGGGTGTTCACAAGCATGCTGTTTATTTCATCGTTTTCCAGGCCTGATTATTTCAAGAATATTTGCAGTTATTTTTTACCCCCAAAGACAGAGCGCACAGATAAACTTCTTATAGCAAGATATGTTTGTCTTGGTTTATAGTGGAAGTTCTGGATGAAAGTCAAGATTAATTTTTATACTGAATATGAGATCTGGCTATAACAATAAGTTAAAATAGGATTTTTTTTCATGTTGCTACTTCTGATTCACTCAAGAGCTAGCACAAGTTATGCTGAGAGTGAAAAAGAAGAGGGACATTATATACAGCTTTAAAACGCAGTTTGTGGTAAATTTGAAGTGACTAGATATGAGGTTTACTTAAGCGCCCCTATTTTCTTCCTTATCAAAATGCCTGCCGATAGTCAGCCTTCCTGAAAGAGCAAACACTTGCCGTGAAAAGTAAGAAAACAAAGGGATGCTCAAACCAAGTAATTAAAAGTTGTACTGTATTCATGAGCAATTCATGCCTCTGCTTGTTTTGATTATATCTTTCAGGGGATATCTTTGAACTAGATGATGCTTGTAAAATCTTCTTTCTTTTTGGACAACTTTACTAATGATAGTTATAGTGAACTAATAATAAAGAGTAAAATTACTTAGAAAAAGCATGACTATGCAGTTCAAATACTAGAAGGATCTGAAGTGAGCTTTTGGATGTATTAGAGAGTTTTTGTGTGCCCTGAGCAAGTCACTTAATCTACCCCAGTTCTTCATAATGAAGACCACAAATAGACATGTTACCATGTTTGCAGTGTTCCGAGGACCACACAGAGGAGACATTAGCTCATGCCTGACAGCAGACAACTTCTGTTCCTTATTAATGAATCATTTAATTCCACGGAATGAAAGCACAGCAGCGTCTCTGAAAAAATTCCACAGATGCTACCAATTCAAACCGGACTTGAGCAGATTGTTTTTGTGGTCATCTGAATTTGCGTTTTAGAATGCAAACAAAAAGAAACAAAATCATTAAAATACAGGATCAAACCTTTGTTTTAAAATCTAAGTGCCTGTTTATTAAAAAAACATTATGGCTTGCTTATTTAAATACGTCTGGTCACAACTACTCAGCACAACCTTCAATTTATCGCAGTTGTTGCTACGTTAAGTACGTTACGTTGTTCCAAAGACTAACATGACCTTATGTCTTATCACAGGAAAACCCCAAACCCAACCCTCCTCGGAAGCCTCTACCAGCAGACCCTCTGACCAGAGCGCGCTATAACAGCGCATGCACGGCAGTGCCTGGACACGCGAAAGCTCTGCCTCACGTTGCTCCCGTAAGGTCAGTTCTGATCAAAACAGCTTGATTTGTGGTACTTTTTGTTCAATGATGGGTCTCAAATGGCTTCGAGCAGGTCCATTACGCTCCGAGTAACGGTGCTCCTGTAACTCTTGCCGAGAGCCACGCGACAACCAGTTTCGAGCGCGCGGTATCGGGCTGGTTCTCACTGGGAGCGTATCAGCGCAATCGCGCTGACTTCCACAGAAGTATGAGAATTTAGACTATCCATGAAAGTTTGACTGTAAGCATCCAACTGTATAGTTACAAAAACTGCCCAATAAATACAATTCCTTGCACAAGAAAGGCGTTAATAAGCACCAATTTCAAGAGAAACAAAGTTCCCGCAGAAATAATTTTCCTACTCAGACCACCTACAAAATTAGGGTGAGAACTGAATGCTGTTGAGACCAACCACCAATAAAAACAATTCCCGGTTCACACATTTCACAATGGAACATCAGTTTATAAAATCTGAAAATAATACGCAGAACATTCAGAAAGCACAGAAATTTGACACTTAAAAAAAAAAAAAAAAAGGATGTTGAAAAAAATAATGTGGAAGTGACATAACTATGCCCAATATTAATGGGCATCATCCATGATATTTTCTTACCCGATATTCTTCAGTTTCCTATGAATAAGAAGTCAGCTCCCAGAAAGATAAAAGTAGTATTCTAAGCTACAGGAATTCTACTAATGAGGCACTCAATTGCTCAGAAAAATTAAAAATAGAATCGAGTTAGTTTCCTAATGCTTCCGGCAAAAAGTCCGCAAGATTAAGCTCCTGGCTGTCCATTCTAGTAAGATATTCTGAAAGTAACAGTATTTCAAGCTGATTACTACAGCTTTTTGGAACCAACTGATATTCTACATTAGGCAGCATTTTTGAACACGTGCAAAGTTGATGAGCACCCAAAGAAATGAAGAGTTTAAAGAACAACACCTGAAATATTGAGCTAGCTTATCCCACTGGCCAGGCAGCAAGTAAAAACATGAACTGAAAAAAGGCATCTTCTGGTACCATTTACAGTTCTCGGCGACGCTTGTGTGTACAGTTACGTGTCTGATCTCCTCCCAGTATGAGAGTCCCACGCTACGTGTCTGATGTTAACTTGGATAGCGCCAAGAGGTTTTACCTTTCATCTTCACGCCTCGAGCGTGATGCTGGCCGTGAGAACTAACAAACCTTTAAATAACAATTTGCTGTTTTCTTTCTTTCCAGCAGACCAGCTCCGAAGCATCCACCACAGGAATCCAGGTCCAGCAACACTGTTGACGTGAAATGACTTAGAAAAGCTGACACCTTTCTTTTACAAAGTGAAGACAGAAGTTTGCACTATCTTTAAACTCCAGCTGGAGTTCGTTTTTATGACAATACTTAGAATTTTTAATTTTGAAAACAGCATTATTTTTAAGAATTCTGAGCTACTGCCTCTGGTGCTGTGCTGTGCTATGGTGCTCTGTATACTTGCTCAGGTACTTGTAAATTATTAATTTATGTTGAATATTTATTACAGTGCAGTGCACTGTAGTAGATATTTTTACCATAGCTGAGTTTTCCTAAAAAGGAAGCCTTTTTTTGTAATATTTCATTGAACTTGAATAATTCTGCTCTATTGGTCCTATGTAGAGTTTTTAGTTTTGATCTGTTCTTTAAGGAGTGCTGATACTCGTGGATAAATCAAATGTGCAAGCAACTCAGTCGCAATGGTTCATAACAAAATTTTGGATAAATATGTCAGGGTAAAAAAAAAAAAAAAAAAAAGAAATCTCTTGTGGAACACGGTGAAGTGCCCGATACCTGCACACAGATGTGTAACGTATGTATTCAACCAAAGGCTCGCTCAGTGCTGTACTGTAATTTCAGTTTTCACATCACTGTTTGAAAGCGTCGAGAAATCTGTGCTGAAAGAGGATGTAGTCACTTTGGGCACGTTCTCTTTCTGAAGAAGTACTGTATATCACAAAACTGTATTTTTTTAAACCTCACTTTCCCTGAACACAAGATGGTTGGTACACGTGAATGCGGGCATCGGGCCTCCCAGTGCCATCACCTTTTTGGTGCTGTGGTCATTACGTTCAGCCACACCGCTAAGGTGGCGCCATCCCACGATGTTGCGTCGCTGTCCTGGTCAGAGGGACAGCACGTTCCACGCAGGGGGCGGGGGGAAGCCAAGCGTTACAAAGAATTACATTTTTAGAGTCAACTATTGTACTTATTTCTTTTGCATCATCGCTCTGCTTATCAACTGTATTTTGCATATTTACTACTGTTTTGTATTTAACTTCTGAATTATTGTTCTGGGTTTCTTAATTTTCAAATCAAAATGCATATTTTAATACATAGGCTTTCGTTATCCTAAGACATGGAAAAAAAAAATCACCTCTTTACTCTGTGGTAGCGTTACAGCTGATCTCTTCTGTACCTTCTCAGTAGCACTGCTGAATACAGTTATTTCACCTATGCTGTAATAAAAAAAAAAATTCAAATGTCAGTTGAAATAGAGGGGGAAGGAACTATTACCTTATATAGGTTAGTTTCCTTATTGCTTGTAGTTTTTGTTTCTTTAAGCAAAAATAAAAGCATTGATAGAAACGTGGAGCTCATTTAAGTGCAATCGCATTTAATTTTCCCAGTCATTCCCCATCGTAGCGATATAGCACTCATGTTTATTGATAAACTAAAGCCAAAAAAACCCCATAGTTTCGTTTGTTGCTGAACAGCAAAGTAAATGCTTCACAAAAGCATTTAAATTCTTAACACAACTCTAATACCAACAGTGCTTTCTGTATGGAGAATCACTGCAACAGTAGGATGCTCGTTTATCCTAGGCTCAGCAACACAGTTGAAACCAAAAATGGTGCTTTTTATACTTTTTACATGTTTCTATTTAAAACACTAATTTCTCCCTGTCAACAGTAGCTTTATATCTAAAATGGAGGGGAGGGGGCGGTGTGAGGGGGCATCTCAGTTTGAAGCAGACACATGATCTCGGTTTGCTTGTTTGAATACTCCCATTTTTAGAATGTGCAAGGTGTCATGCTGTATCAAAGTGTTTCTGATAACTGCTGGAAATCAGACAATGAAACTGTAAGTACTGAAAGAAGAAGGTGAAATTAAACGACTACAAAGTTTGTATTATCTGCATCAGAAGTTCTAACATCTGAATTTAATGGCACCAGCTTAGCTCGTGTATAAACTTAGAGCTTTAAAGGAACCTTAGCTTTAAAATAAACGTCATCCACCCATGCAGTCCTGCAAAGTACAGAGATAGAACCATCCCTACAGGGCACCCAAGTCCTACCCCTGTAATCACAAGCAGCCATCTCACCAGCACCCAGTCCAGAACACACCACAGCCCATCTGTTCTGGGAGCAGAGCACCCCAAACCTAGGACGTGTCCCAGGTGATGCTGAGAACCTCTTGGACCTCTTCCCCCCCTACAGCAGCAACACACACACACACCCTTTTCATATATGGAGGAAGACAGCAGAAGAATGATGCCAAGGACACTGCGAGGTGTCCCCAGTCCCAGCACAGCGGAGTTTTAAGATTGAAATGCCTGGATGGTCTTACTGCTTGTATCCCTCAAGGAGCCCCCTACCTGGCTGTTAGGATATTCCTGAGGTGATGAACAGCACAAGCATCAGCACCCGCTGCCCAGGATCACATCTGCTGTTGCCAGAGGAAGGCAAAGTCCAGCCACTCATTGTGGATGAGGCGTGAGAGGACACATCCGTGGCTTCTGGAGCTGAGCAGCAGGAGCCCAGCGGCAATGGGGCATCGTTAATGTGAGGCCTTTCACTGTCTTTAACAATTCACTGAGAGAAAGAGAAAGAGTGCACAATCTGGGAAAAAAAAAAGTACATTTAAGCAAGCTGTGAACTAAGCAGATTACTAAGCAGAAAAGTGTATGTCAAATTTCTTAACTATTAACACTTTTCTAAAACCAGCAGCTGAAGCATATGGATCCAGTGACGTGGAATGTAGTCTTACAGCAAGGAGTTCATGATTGCATGTACATATTACCTAACAGAGTTGCTATCATATGTTAGACATGCTTAAAGCTAGAGATTTCTAGCCTTTTGGAAAAAAACCATAGTTCCGTATCTGAAACAAGGGCAAGCAAACCCGAACATCCTGTAAAATGTTGAAATATTTAAATTAGTTACTTGAAACCAGCACAAGGTAGTTCCTGGCATAGTGCAAGCTGATTTTTCTAAACAGACAGGTAGGTGCAATGTATACAACAGCCTTATAAGCTGGAATCCTTCCAACTAGCTGACGTCCAAGTATTCAGATGCAAAATACCGCAGGCAGAAAAAGGTCTGTAGCTTTTAGAGGGGGTGTGGGGGGAACCAAAGAAGCTATCCAAGACTCCTTTTGTTTCCGTGTAATATTTTTCCCCTGGATGTGAGTAGTAGCTGGCTGTGTGATGTTTTCATACCAATTTAGTGTCTTTGCGATTAGACGTGCAGATGTCACGTAAAATTCCATTGTGAAAGCCAGAGGAAGGGTTTTACATTCTGAAGGACAGTGTCAGCAAACAAATCTCCATGGGATACACCGGGATGTGCAGTTTAACATTTGCTCCTCAGTGAACGGGCCTGTGGTGCCTGGTTACAAAGAAGTGCAGTCAGCACAGGCTTTGGGTCCTGCCATGATACGTTCATCCATCTCCACGCTCAGCAAACTTTAGCTGGTAAATCACCTTTAATAATTAAGATAACATCATCCTGTAAATCCTCAGGTTTTTGTAGTGTTCAATTTGTCTTTGTGGGAGAGACCTGAAGAGACGGTGCTGGTGCCTGCTCTTCCTTTCTGTCCTTTTCCATACACGTATTCCAGCCTCCTCCCTACTCAACACGAGACGCCGGTGCAGACAAGTCCTCTTTCCAGAGGCGAGGCAAGAACACAGTGTGCTTTCCCTAAAGCACTGCATGACAATGCTGCTATTATGCTAATCAAGAGAACAGTAAGTACAAAACACCATCACAGAAGATGAATAAATATGCAGTAAACAAAAAGAAAATTGCACATTTACCCTCACTCTCCTCATCAAATCTCCTGGGTTTAGTACTCCTAGATTTTTTTTTTTAAAAAAAGCTATCAATTATCCGAGTAGCATGATTTTTTTTTGGTTTCATGGAATATTTTGAGAGCCTTTTCAAATACTCCAAGAAGAAACAGATACATAGTTGTTTTCTTGGCTTCAATTCTGATTTCTTCTGATCATTTGAGTGTGCAATATTAATTCTCTTTTATAAACTTCCAATTAAATAACAGTATTTTTTAATTTAACTATAAATTACCATGTCACAGTAAACAAATTCATTCTTTATCTTACAAGCATTTTCCAAAACCATAATTGTCTAAATTCAGTAACGTCAAAGCTCACTCTGCGCACAGAGCATCCTTCCAGGCAGCTACACCTCACGTTACCAGAAGTTAAAGATGCCCCATACGTTACAGGCAGCTCCACTTTCCAAATAATACTTCTAAGAGAAAAGCAATAAAAACCTAGAGCATATTGGGATACAATTTTGAACTCTTGGAACGCAGTTAATTCAGAAATCAAATACCCAACATCATCATGACGACAAAGATTTCTCTCTTTTCCATTACCCTCTCTCTTATTTTTTTTTTTCTCCTTTTTTTTGGAAGCAATATGCAGGTATTTTGTGTTTGTACAAATGAACAATACATTTTTAAAGCTTTACTGTGTGTAATTTTTGCATATCTAGATTTATATCCTTTAACATACTTATGAATACATAACTTTTTGGTGTGCAGCATCAGAACTGTGTTATATATTTCTAAATATAACATTACAAAGTCTTCCCTATGATTGTCAACAACCAAACTAAGAGGAGGAACAGCTTTTTACCAATGCAGCAGGTTTTAACTGGCATGTGCATTTCTAGTAGAATCTTCCACTTGAAGCTGCTTCAAGCAAACACAATCTGGTAATAACAGCTCGCTGTCTGCTCACTCTCAAGTACTACCTCTCAATAAATATATTCTGTATTGTATTTGGTGGTTTGCCTACGTAATTACCAAAATGGTTAAGAAAATGCCAGTTTCCTCAACATAAAACGTGCTAAGAGAAAAGGGCATCTCTCTGCATGTAATTTCTCACCGCTTCAAGGACACATATCCAAAAAAATAAATAAATAAAAATACTAAGCAAGAGATTGCCTTATTCTTGTACGTACCTGTCATTGACATGTCACTGTGTTTATATGTGTAGATATTCCCAGGACATTTGCCTTCTGTCAAACAGAA